ACAAGTGTAAAATATCAGGTTCTGTACAACGTATTATAAACGCTTGACCGTCTGAGAAACCTAAATAGCAGGCCGTTTTTCAACGACTTAACCAGTTAGCTAGCTGGAGTGGTAAATTCTAGCATACCCATATTGACGGCGGTTTTTCACCGACTTCACCGGAAAAGGGTTAATTCATCGTGTGACAGATTGAGGGGGATATTACGTCTTTGAAAGTTTGACGGAAAACAAAATTAGGTGCGTCGTCAATGAAGAAACAGAAATGGTCAAATATTCACATTTTGTTACAATAGTAATTACGTACCAAAAATATTTGAGTCTGTTGGAGCACAGTCAAACTCAAACTCTTCATCATTATCGCCACAGACGAATGTGTCGGATCGTACGCAAACTCACGATGAGAAGCACTTTCCGCCATGATGTATTTGCATTTGACCTGCATCAACGTCCTTTGACCTAATGGGTCAAGTCTGTTATTATCCAATCAAAATGCTATGTGGTACTGACGCAATTCTTCGGAAATTCCCGAAGACTCTCAGGTAACGCAATGCGGAAGTGAATTATCGATGTCGAAGTACGATCTGTTGGATTGATTTCGGCGAATAAACGACATGTTTTTGTTTTTTTTAAATGGTAACTAGCAATTTTTATCAGTAAACTGAATACGGCATGAAATATTTACTGCATTTTACTTTTATTAACAGGTCATTGTCGAAGCGTAGTTACCATGGTCTACGCCGCATTCACAACACGGCGATCGATATCCACGCTGTATCATGATATAAAAAACGATTACCAGTATTCGTTAAGCAATGATCAAAGACCAAGTTTTAAATGAGTGGCATTTTGAAGGGGTGGGCGCTTTGCCAAATGTGACCCTGAATATAAAAATTGTGCAAAAGTGGGGGGTGGGCGCTTGACCGGGCATGGGCGCTAACGCAGACATTTCACAGGCACTTTAAAGAGCACCCATAGCAACATGTACAACTTTAGTGAAATACAGTGTTTGTTTACACAAAATTTGACATGCGCTGCATGACAACCACCACCTTTTAATGTCTGTGTTTTCTTTTTGTAGGCTGCCAGAGATAACCTTGGAAAGTCCCAAGGGGTTGTCTAATGATCAGACAAAGAAATTAAGAAAAGACTTAGAATGTGAAGCTAAGAAGAGAATTGGAGAGGTAAGTTTTATGATCCTGTCAATGTGAGTGTAATCTTGATGGATAAAAATTACAAAATGTAATTGATAAATTAGGTTTTGGTGCAATATTTCAGTATGCTTATCTCTATATAATTGTATTCTATTTTAGTAAATGTGTGTTGCACTTACATCTCTGCTCTCTATTTCTCTTGGCCATTCATAGTGGATATGAATTAATAATTAAATTCAATAATCTAAATTAGGTAATGATTCTGGAGTTAGCTACTCAGATTGAAGAGTTTCTGCATATACACAATGTTCCTCAGATGAAATCATTCTATCATGAGATGTTAACCAATAAGAAAAGGAAAGAAGAAAAAGCTGCTAAAGAACAACAGAGAAAGATGGACCTTAAGAAAAGGAGGGAGGCAATGCAAGTGAGAATCATTTTCAGACCTATTAGTTACATTGTACATGTAGATTGGATATGCATTGATCAGAAAAGTTATTTGCACACTGCCCATCTTCATTGTCCTCCTACTTGCACACTGCCCATATTCATAGTGTCCTCCTACTTGCACACTGCCCATCTTCATAGTGTCCTCCTACTTGCACACTGCCCATCTTCATAGTGTCCTTCTACTTGCACACTGCCCATATTCATAGTGTCCTCCTACTTGCACACTGCCCATCTTCATAGTGTCCTCCTACTTACACACTGCCCATCTTCATCGTGTCCTCCTACTTGCACACTGCCATTTTCATCATTTCCTCCTACTTACACACTGCCCATCTTCATAGTGTCCTCCTACTTGTACACTGCCCATATTCATAGTGTCCTCCTACTTGCACACTGCCCATCTTCATAGTGTCCTCCTACTTGCACACTGTCCATCTTCATAGTCTCCTCTTACTTACACACTGCCCATCTTCATAGTGTCCTCCTACTTGCACACTGCCCATCTTCATAGTGTCCTCCTACTTGCACACTGCCCATATTCATAGTGTCCTCCTACTTATACACTGCCCATCTTCATAGTGTCCTCTTACTTACACACTGCCCATCTTCATAGTGTCCTCCTACTTGCACACTGTCCATCTTCATAGTCTCCTCTTACTTACACACTGCCCATCTTCATAGTGTCCTCTTACTTGTACACTGCCCATATTCATAGTGTCCTCCTACTTGCACACTGCCCATCTTCATAGTGTCCTCCTACTTGCACACTGCCCATCTTCATAGTGTCCTCCTACTTACACACTGCCCATCTTCATAGTGTCCT